AGAGAGAGAGAGAGAGAGAGAGAGAGAGAAAGAGAGAGAGAAAGTAAATGCCATAATTTCTATTGAGATTTTTCTTCTGTCTTTAGAACAATTTATTATTTGAATGCTAATAAAAATAATGAAACAAACTATACCATTATAGGGAGCTCTGGTGGTGGAGTGCCTAAGGCATTTGACTGTTAACCAGAAGGCTGGCAGTTCAAACCCATCAGCCACTCCTCAGGAGGAAGGTTGGGCAATCTACTTTGGTAGTGATCTTGCTTCGGAAACCCAAGGAGGGGTCGCTGAGTAGGGTCTGACTCGATGGCACATAACAGCAACACAACACACCATTATAATATCTTCATAAATATAAAGCTTTTCTAATTAGAGTTATTACTTAAATAGAAGGGTGGTAGCATGTAATCATGTTTCTATAAAACTTTGTTACAGGGAACTATAAACATTTTTGGGAGAATGATCCTCTCTGGAGACATTTCTTTATACAAATTGTGGTTCAGGATTGTGGAAATATACAATATCCTAAATAATAAAATTTTTCTCTCTTATATCAGTTTTGTCAGACTATTTTAATAAGATTCACCCATTGTATTATGTTGGATGGTATTAGTTGACAAAAGGCATCAAAAATAAAACCAGCTTAAGAAAAAAAATTACTAGATTGATAATTTTAGGAAGACCTTCAAGTTCACCAGAAGTACTGCTTTGGTCAGGAGCCAGAAAAGATCCATATATGCCATATTCTCATTCTCACTCTCACTCTTGCAAATTTCTTTCTCATTTTTTTCCCCTATATTTTATCTTTGTTTCTATTTTTCTTTCTTTCTTCCTTAAGGCAGATTGTCTTTTGTCACATGACAAATAGGGCAGCTTCTCACAGCTTCCTATTCACCCTTAAGTTCGTGACACAAAGACAACAGATCTCTGCCACCAACTCAACTAGAATTACCAGTTAGAATAAATTGATTGACCCATATTTGAATAGTTACCGATCACTAGATCATTTCTTTGATCTGAGAGTTGTAGTAGTATGTTAATTTTAGGAGTCCTGGACTTCCTTGATTTCGACTCTGGCTCTATCATTTACATGCTTGAGACTTTAGAAAACATGTTGTTTCTCTAGAATTCAGTTTTTTGGCATGTAAATAAGGATAACAATTGTGCTTAATTCATAGATCTGTGATGACTATATATTAATTAAACATCTGGAACACTGATGACCCTTCAGAAACTACTCTGTAATGTCAGTCATTATTATTATTATTTAAAAATAATGAATAATAATAAT